TGTAGAAGCAACAGGCAAGTACACATTTGGATCCTTGTGAACAAGACAACTGACTTCTAAACCATGCAAGTGTCGAATGATACATTTCAGGGTGAAGGAGATCTGTGAGAAAATCTTATGGAGCTTTGCTCACCAGTGGTGGGGATCAATGAGTCCTGGCTGGGTTTCTTGAGTGTGGCTGCAGCTGTGTGGGTCTGACGACCGGTACTTGACCGGCTCAGGGAGCTGGGGAGAGAATTGTGTCAATACTGATAAATATCTGCTCTGGAATGGTGAGTGCCATTTAAAACCTGACTCTGCTCTGTGTGTGTGATGGTAGGTCTTTCTGCGTGGACCATCGTGAACTCCAGCATTAGAAGACTTAAAGACTTACCAAGTTCCCCAGGGATTATAAAGCCATTACGACTTAACAGTAACAAGTGGAAATGTTAAGTGCAGCAATATATGCATAAATCAAGATTTTTAAAGCTTTCTTTTTTCCCCCCATCATGGAAAAATAATTTGTTATAGCCAGTTTAACCGAACTGACAAATCTTTTGGCAGTTGTTTTGTTTTTGGGGTAATATGAGGTTAAACTCCTTTCTCCATTGCATTTAATTTTCTGTACTCCTCTAAGTGCTAGTCGTCTCTTGTCCTGCATGGAGTTGACCTCTTCTTCCTCCCCAACTTCCACTACGGATCTGTGCTCTGATCGTGACGGCTCCCCCGAGCACCAGTCACCAGACATTCTCTCACGGCGCACATCCCACTCGAGGGACCAGGGTGGTCTGCGGTATGGTGTAGGTGTGGTCTGGGCTCAGCTGCGTCCTTTCCTGCCATTTTTTTTGATCAGTTGCCTGGTGGTGGCACTTGTCTACCTGCTCCATACTATCATCTACAGCGGCCCCTTCACTGACCCACTCTTCTTTCAAAAGTTTGCCCAGCGTTGGCCCAAGCCCCGCCAAGACTGGACCCCCAACTTGGGAAAGACCCCTGTGGAGCAGCTGGGAGACAGCAAAGACATGGCTTAGGCTCAGTGCTGTGTCATCGAGTAGAACTGGATGTCAGTGTGAATAATATCTGAACAAGGCAGCTGTCTGCTGCCACTCCAACTCCTCTCTGTAGTTTTTAATCATTTTGAAACTGTTCAGTTAAATATTTTTCATTTAGTATACTACTTCAGCTGCATAGCTAGAATTTGAAATTTTTCCCAAGAATGTAATAACTGTTTGTAATTTTATCGGTTCACTGCAGTCAGTACCAACTTAGTTACCAGAAAATGCTGTCATGTAAGAGTTGCATATCTAAGAAACTCTTTTTATCTTAAAATTTTTATTATGGAACTGAAAACGGATATGTAAAAAATATATGCGTTTTTCTTTATCTGAAATATGACAAACTGAAAATGAATAAAAGAAATTAAAAACTTGCGAAGCTTGCATTTTATCCGCCAATGAACTAAAAATTCAGATCTAAGTATATTCTTCAAATGGTCTTTTATCTAGACAATTCAGAATTGTAACGCTTATTTAATATTGAAAAGTGTGTGAAATGTAAATAGAAAAACTACTAAGTGGATTAACAAATGTGGGTATGGCGTAGACGTAACTGGCATTATAACGTGGTGAACCGATTTAGCAGAGTCTGTCCATCTCTCAGTTAAGCATTTTTTTTTGCACCAGATGCTTGCATCGCTTCCTATGGCTGAAATGCACAATTAAAAAAAATCATAGTCCTCGCTCAATTCTGGGGAGAAAAAAAGGCAGGAAATTGGGAACATAGCGATACCGGCAGCACATCCCATAAAGGCGCAGCTACGCACGAGCCACGCTATGGTGCTGAACGGTTAGTTTGTGGACAGACACGCCGCTAGAAGGCGTCTGCGCTGCGGCCCTCTGAGGACCTACTGCGGCTGTTCGGGTAGTCGTTTGTCGTTAAAGAGAGAAAAATCATTTAAATATACATTAAACTTTATTTTAACTTGTAACGTTTTAGCCAGTTATTCACATAGTTCCAAAGCTGATTTTATTTCGGAGATACTGGCATTTACTTAACTAGAAAACGACTAATTAAGGAGACGAGGGTGAGTGGCTAACGTGATTTTTATTAAAATTTGATCGAATAGCGCAAGTTCACTCAGTTAAACTGCAGGTTTTGGGTAGCTGTTGTATTCGTGTATGAATACTAAGTTCGTGTCTCATACTTGATAGCAACATGCGACTAGGTCTTTTCGCAGATTAGATAAATAAATAAGCGAGCTGCGTCTCCCGAAATTAGCTTGTAAAAACTGCCAACGAAGATGTCGCCAGCTTTACTGGGGCAGGCTGGCGGTGGTGGCGGATTCCGTTTTCCGCTTAGATGGTCCCGGTGGTTTTGGGTCCCGCAATGCCGACAAACCGAAAAAAACAACGGCGGATCCCGGGAGCGGGTAACGGGCGCGCGGGCGCAGGAGGAGCGCGCTGCACGTGCAGGGCACAAGCGGGCCTGTGGCGCGCGGGCAGCCTTAGCGGCGGCGATTTTTACTGGCGTGCAGCTTTTTGACCACGTTAGGCTTATTGACTCGCAGAATAATAATGTGCAATGTGTAATTAAGAGTAATAAACCATAGACGTGCTATAAATCCACATGCAGTTTTTCCCCAGAGTGTAATGCCACATATACATACACTTTTTAAATTTTATAACATATTATCACAGGGTTGCCAACTCTCGTGCATCTGGCGTGACACTCACGCTTTCAGACTCACGCAAGAAATCATTCCATTATTCCATTATTAACCTAATATTAGCCACCCCAAAAGCATTGTTTGCCACAAGTGATGGCAAAAGAGTTATGACTTAGGCCAATAAATACACCTTTGGAGGGGGCAAAAGACATTTTAGGGGGGCTTTAATAGGCCTAACGATGCCCCTGCTACAGACTGTTTACAAGGTAATAAAACTTACATACATGTAACTCAGGGTTGCCAAATCTCATGCATCTGGCGTGACACGCTTTCAGATTCTCATGCAAGAAATCTTACGGCAAAGACATATTATGCCCGTTATAAACCTAAAATTAGCCACATCAGAAGTGCTGGGGTAGTTTGCAAACCCAGACTATTTACAAAGTAATAAATCTGTTACATGCATGTAAATGTGTGTGCAGAGTTGTCTGGAATTGAAAATCTCATGCCAGGCAGCAGACCCAAGTTGGCAGCCCTGTCATTATTTCAAATGGATTTCATAGTATTACATCCTGCCAGAGATGGATATATGTGGTTATAGTTGCTCTTGTGTGGCCACAGAACTGAGAATATTCTAGTTATTTGACCTTGAAGTGACCTTTGCCATTTACCTGCTCCATCCATCCGCTCCCTCCAGGCGGCGACACATGTGGCGGTACCGCAAGCCCGGTTTTGAGCTGTTGCTCCTGGGGGAGCTGCAGAAGCAGCAGAGAAGCAGCATACTCTGTGACACCATTTTGCAAGCTGATGGTAAGTGCTCCGCTTTTCCAGGATTACACACATACAGTTTATATATATCATGCGTGTGTGATTGAAGGAGATATATATATATATATATACTTTTAATAAAATGGAGTTTTATTTTAAGCAAATGGGTAATAATTGATTTGTGTAGCTAGATTAATAAGAAGGACAAACACAAATAGTGCCAATCAGACAATGTGCCAAGACAGTATCAGCAGTGACTGTCCTCTAGGAAAAGGCATCCTGTAGCACTGGTGTTATTTTCCTGCACCTTTGCTCTTCCTGATATTTTAGGTAACTTCATAATCTTGGCCATTCTTTTCTCTGCCTTGCAATGTCTTCCTGGTTGTCCCTTAGGTATATCTGTGCCGGCGCACAGCTGTGTCCTCTCTGCCATCAGTCCCCAATTTTCCCGTACATTCTCTGCTGCCCCACCCCTGCCGCTTGGCCAAAGCCACCTGCTGCAGTTCCAGGCAGTCAGAGCCCACACTCTTCTAAAGTTGGTGGGCTTCCTGTACTCGGGAGAACTGGAGGGTTTGGGGGAGCGTGAGAGAAAGGAATTGATCACTGCTGCCTGGAAATTGGGCATTGAAGGTCTAGAGGAGGTTGGCAGGAAAGAGGGAGAGGTGCAAGAGAAGCATAATGGCAGAGTGACAGAAAATGCGAAGGACTGTGAAGATGATAGTGGTGAGGTCCAAGAGTTGGGGAGGAGATGGGAGGAATCTGAAGGTCTGATCGAGCAAGCAGATGGAACGAGGGGGCCTGGAGAGGACCAGGACATGAATACAGAGAGCAGTTATGTGCCCCTGTCCAAGAAGGCGAGGGACAGTGAGACCCAGACTGAGGTCAGTGGAATGACAGTGGGTGGGGCAGACATGGAAACACAGACAGATGTGTCTGTCCTGAGAATCAGGGAGACAGACACAGGTACACAGACTGATATGCCTGTCTGGATGGACAGAGAGACAGACACAGGTACACAGACAGACATACCTGTCTGGACAGACAGAGAGACAGACACAGGTACACAGACAGACATACCTGTCTGGATGAACAGAGAGACAGACACAGGTACACAGACAGACATACCTGTCTGGACGGACAGAGAGACAGACACAGGTACACAGACAGACATACCTGTCTGGACGGACAGGGAGACAGACACAGGTACACAGACTGATATACCTGTATCGATGGACAGAGAGACAGACACAGGTACACAGACTGATATACCTGTCTGGACGGACAGAGAGACAGGCACAGGTACACAGACAGACATACCTGTCTGGACAGACAGAGAGACAGGCACAGGTACACAGACTGATATACCTGTCTGGACGGACAGAGAGACAGACACATGTACACAGACAGACATACCTGTCTGGACAGACAGAGAGACAGGCACAGGTACACAGACTGATATACCTGTATCGATGGACAGAGAGAC